CCTTATTGAAGTTTTTTGCATCTATGTTCATTAGGGAGATTGGCCTATAGTTCTCTTTTTTGGTTTAATCTTTCTCTGGTTTTGATATCAGGGTAAAGCTTGCTTCCAGGGATGAATATGGGAGTATTGCTTTCCTTTCAACTTCATTGAAGAGTTTGAGAAGTAGTAGCATTAGGTCTTCTCTCAATTTCTTGTAGAATTTAGCAGTGAATCCATCAGGGCCTGGGCTTTTCTTTGTTGGTAGGTTTTTAATTACTTCTTCAATTTCATTGGCTGATATTGGCTTATTCAAAATTTTTACATCTTCTTGATTCAGTTTTGGTAATTCATATGTATCTAGGAATCTGTCCATTTATTCTGTGTTTTCTATCTTATTAAAATACAAAGTAGGACCGGGGATTTAGCTCAGTGGTTTCGTCACCTGCTGCACAAGCGCAAGGACCCAAGTTCGATCCCAGGTACCAAAAAAAAAAAAGACTACAAAGTAGGTATTGATGATGTTTTGGATTTCTGCAGGATCTGTTATGATTTCACCCTTTTCATTCCTAATTGCATGGAGTTGAGTCTTTTCTTTCCTTTTTTGATAAGGGTGGCTAAGGTTTGTCAATTTTATTTAATCTTGCAAAGAACTCTTCAATTTATTGATTCTTTGTATTGTTTCCTTAGTTTCCATTGCATTAATTTCTGCTCTGATTTTTGTAATTTCCTTCTTCGTATGAGCTTTGGGCTTGACTTACTATTGTTTTTCTAGAATCTTGAGGCTCAACATTAGGTTGTTTATTTAAGTCCATTCTGTTTTTCTGATATGGGTATTCACTGCTATAAATTTTCCTCATAGGACTGCTTTCATTGAGTCCCATAAGTTCCAGTAGGTTGTATTAGCATTACTGTTTAATTGTAGAAACTGTCTGATTTCTCCTTTAATTTCATCTATGACCCACTGATCCTTCAGGAAGGTTGTATTTAATTTCCATGTGTTTGTTTCCTTGTGATTTCTTTTGCCATTGATTTCCAATTTCCATGCACTATGGTCTGATAGTATGCATAGGATAATTTCAATTCCTTTGCATTTTCTTAAGGATGTTCTATGAACTAGTATGTGGTCTATTTTGGAGAACATCCATGTGCAGCTGAGAAGAATGTATATCTGATGTTCTGGGGTGGAACACTCTGTAGACATCTACTAAGTCCATTTGTTCAAAAGTTTGCTTCAGTTCTAATGTTTCATCATTGATTTTTTTCTAGTTGATCTATTTGTGACTGTGGGGTACTGAGGTCCCCCATTACAACTGTATTAGTGCTTATTTGATTTTTCATGTCCATTAATATTTGTTTTATATAGTTGGGTGCACTAGCATTTGGTGCATATATATTTATGATTGTTATCTCTTCCTCTTGGATTGTTCCCTTTACAAGGATGTAGTGACCTTCTTTCTCTCTCTTAATCCGTCTTGGCTTGATATCTACTTTGTGTGTGAATAGAATAGCTATCCCTGCTTTTTTCTGGGTTCCTGTCACATGGAATATTGTTTTCCATCCTTTGACTTTCAGTTTATAAATTTCATTTTTAATTAAATGTGTCTCTTGTATGCAGCATATTGTTGGATCTTGCTTTTTGATCCATTCTGCCATCTGTTTCTTTTGATTGGTGAATTGAGACCATTAACATTGATGGTTATAACTGATATGTATTGACTTATCCCTGTTGTGTTGTTTTCTTGTTGTTGGCTCCCTTCTTTCCTCTTGTTTAATTTCTTGTCTTGTCTGGTGCATTCATTCTGTTGGAGTTCATGAAGTTGAAATTCTTGTTATCTCTTTCTAGAATATTCTTTAAAACACTTTGGATTGCTGGTTTGGTGTTCATGAATTTCTTCAGGTGTTCTTTGGAAATATCTTATTTCTCCATCAATTTTGAAAGATAGTTTTGTGGGGTACAGATTCTGGGTTGGAGGTTGTATTTTGTTTTAGTTTTGAGGCAGGGTCCCACTACGTAGTTCAGGCTGGCCTTGAACTCACTATGTAGCCCAGGCTGGCCTTGAATTCTTGGCAATTCTCCTGCCTCAGCCTCCTGAGTGCTGAGATTATAGGCCTGTCCCACCTATGTGATCTATATACCTCCATCAGATGTGATTTTCAGAGAAAATGAACATAAATAGAAACATTCCTAAACAGAAATTAGATGGTACCTGATTTAAGACAGACTTACTGGTTTTTGACTTTACAGTGATGCCAAAGCAATATGCATTCAATAGAAACTATACTTTAAACTGGGTGTGGTGCTGCATGCCTGTGATCCCAGGACTTGGGAGGCTAAGGCAGGAGGCTCACCATGAATTCAAGGCCAGTCTCAGCTATGTAGTCAGATCAAGGCCAGCCTAGACTACGTAGTGAGACCCAAAACAGAAACTACACTTTTAATTTTGATCCTTTCCCAGGCTAGTGGTATCCTTAAAGCCATAGCTCCCAGTCAGCCGCTGGATCACAAAGGGAAACCACCCATACCCCACAGCGTACAGTATCTTGGTGTTGTGCAGGTTTAGGGGTATGAAATGCATTTTCAATTCCAGATGTCATCAACCTATGGTGGATTCATCCCAATGGATTTTTCCCTACATAACCCCACTGTCCATCCAGGAGCACCTGTACAGCAGTAAAGGCATTTCAGCCACCTTATGAAAGGGTTTGCAGTGTTTATTTTACCAAGAGGATAATCCCTTCACCTAGTTAAATGAGGAAGAAACAAAACTGGAGGTGGATCCTTTTGTGGTCAGAGCCTGAAGTGAAACAACTGCCCCTACTCTGCCGATTTTGCTGGAGAGGACAACTCTGGCCACCCCAGGCTGAGGACTGAGCCCAAGTCTCTCAAGGGGAAGTTTAATTATTGTCTGGTGGCAAAGGAAGCTCAACTCCATTCTCAAAGCTGGTTGCTTTTCAAATTGTAGCACTCTGCAATGATCATCAGCCATGGCAAATAAGCCCAGTAACAAGCAATATGCATAAGCTATTGGATGGGTTTTTGTTTGGTTTTTCTTTTTGCAGTGCTAGGAAGGGAACCCAGAGCCTCTCACATGCTAGGCAAGCCCTCCAGCACTCAGCTACTCCCTAGCCCAGCAGGAATGGGTTTGTTTATCAGCCATGTAAGAAAATACACCCCCCATATAGACTTTCCCCCTTCCTACCATTGAGGCTCAAGTTGTTTACATGGCCACTGATTACAGGACAGTTTATGTTTCTAAAAGCCCACTGGCTGCCTTGTGGAGAATGGGCATAACCTGTGCCCCTTGGTCTCCTTGGAAAAGCATTTGTCTAACTAAATGCGAGGCTGCCGGGTGTGGTAGTACACGCCTGTAGTCCCAGCACTCACACTCGGAAGCCAAGGCAGGCAGATTGCCAAGAATTCGAGGCCAGCCTGGGCTACATAGTGAGTTCAAAGTCAGCCTGTATTACATGGTGAGACCCTGACACACACACACAAAAAAAAGTGAGGCTGGGAGCAAGAACTGAAGAGGGAAGCACAGTGCGCTGGGAATTGACCAAGGAGAGGGAGAGAGTAGGAAAGGAGTTTGGGAACCTACAGGAAGTTGAGGGATGAGGCAACAGAAGGCCAGGAAGAAGAGAACACAGGCCCTAGGTAGGAGAAGAATGGCAGAGAATTTTCCAAGCAGAGCCTATGGCCTCCTGAGCTGACCCTCCCACCCCACACTGGCTGAAGTGTTCCCATCCAGCGCCATGGCGGAGGACACAGCCTGGTCTCCGTCCTCAGCTGAGGGCTGGAGAGTGAGGCTGTGTGTGGAATTGGGGTTCAGGCCACAGCAGGGGTGCCGGGTGGGTAGGAGTGGGCAAGGGTCAGAGGAGAGGAATCTGTCCAGCAGTCCTCAGGGCTGCACAGGGAGCCACAAAAGACAAAAACACCTGCAATCCCAGAGCAAGCCCTCTAGCCCTTAGGCTGCAGCAGATTTGGAGAGAGCAAGCATGTCCACCCTTCTCCCCTGGAAATGAAAGGCCTTGGCTCGGAAACAGGGGACAGGGTGCAGGGACTTCAGCCCTGCCAGGGCCAGGCCTCGGGGACAGAGCACTGGAAAGAGTGTGTCCCTCCAGCCCTGGCGGTGCTGGTGGAGGTACAGAAGAAACTAGCCCTTTCCCCGGCTTCTGTTTCCTAGCTGGAAATGGATCTGATGACCGCCACTTGGTACTGCCTGGGGTGGACAGACACTCCGTGGCAAGGTGAGAGAGAAACAACCTGGTCACGTGCTTTTGACAAATCCCTTCTTCCCTTCAGTGCACACCTTTACTGCCTATGATGCCACAGGCACTGTGGATCCATCCAGAACAAAGCAGACTTCGAATCTCTCTGCCTGACATTTCTCTCCGGGTGTTGCAATCTTAAACAGGCCTGAGCTTATGAAAGAGGTCAAGTGTTTCTGGTGCAGGGAGAGCGCCGCTGCCTCCCGCCTGCGCCTTCCAGATGTGGCCGGCTCAGCAGGGCAGGTGAGACAGGCCAGCACGCCCCGGTCTGTGGCCGGATGAGTTCTTCTTCCTATCCTTGGATTCCCCACAGCTCCTTCAGCCCCTTTTCTATCCCCTTTCCCCAAGGTTTTAGGAAAGTGAACGAGAGTCAGGAAGAGACTTGACTCAGGCTTTCTTGGAAGGAGCATCAATAAAAGAAAAATAATAGCAATAAATTCCTGACCTCAGTCATAAGGTACACGATCATTTGAGTTGATACATCAACGGTAACTAATCAATGCGAGTCCCACAGACTGCAACGCCTCGGGCGCTGCGGGGTGCGAAGGTCTGGGTGGATCGCTCAGCATGGCGGGGTCACAGCTGGCGAGAGCGCAGCCCTGCCAGGTCGCTCGCTGGCTGCGCGCACCTAGCGGTTACAGCTGGGGCAGGGCAACGCCGGCAGGGGCGGGGCCAGGACGGGGCGGGGCTTGCACGGGGCGGGGCAGCGGGCGGGGCGAGCAGGGCCCCTCCCCCGCCCGGATCCCGCGCGGGCGGTCAGAGCGCGCCTGGCGCTGGTTAAAGAGGCGCGCGGAGGCGGGCGCGGCGCACACTGCTGGAGCCCGCGGGGTAGCGACGCACGTGTCTCCTCCGAATCAGACCCTCAGTTTTCCCCGCTTCTTCCTCCTGCGGGCTCGGCGCGCCCCCTTGGCTCCCCTAGGTGTCCGCCGACCCCGGCCCAGCAGCGCAGCTCCCCGCGATCTGCGGACCAACTGGGCCGAGCAACTTTGTCCTGGGAGCGACGCCGCGGGGGAAGGGGCACTGCGCATGCGGAGCTCCAAATTCAAACAGCTGTTTCCAGAGGCTGCGGGAGGGCCGCCGCGGAGCCGCTGGGGTTAGGGGTAGCTTTCTGGAGGAGGCAGCTGCCCGAGAGCCATGGTGGACCGGGGTCCCCTGCTCACCTCGGCCATCATCTTCTACCTGGCCATAGGGGCGGCGATCTTCGAAGTGCTGGAGGAGCCGCACTGGAAGGAGGCCAAGAAAAACTATTACACGCAGAAGTTGCATCTCCTGCAGGAGTTCCCGTGCCTGAGCCAGGAGGGCCTGGACAAGATCCTGCAGGTAAGCCGGTGCTGGTACCCCCATATACACCTGAAGCTGTTTGGGGGTGTAGAGGTGTAGCCCCTGGTGACCCTCAGTCCCGGGGAACTCCGGGAGAGGAAGTCCCCTCCTGGGTCTGTCGCCCAGGCGCGGAGGCTCGTCTCTCCTGGGGAGAACTTGAGGCTGACTCCGAGTGAACTGGGCCCCGCGGTGGCACGGTGTGGGGAGGATAAAGACATTTATCTTTTCTTGGAGACGCTCCCGGAGCCCGGGAGCCGAGCCGGGTGCCACCCTTCGCGTCTCCACCTCCCGGCGCCAGGGCCAGTGCCGCCCTGCCCGGCTTGTGAACCCCGCGGAGCTGTGCAAGGGCCCCCCCAAACCCAACCCTGGGCAGAATCTCCCTGTCCCCGCGGGGCTCCCGGAGGGGTAGGGAGCTCAGTCGGGCCTGAGCGCACCGGATGAGGGCTGGTGGCAGGAATGCTGGGGATGAGGTCAGGCTTCCAGGAAGGCTTATCTCCCGGAGACGTCCCTCAAGGGCTTGGAGTTAAACTTCAAGAAAGCAGCAGGTTGCCTCGCGAGCAAAACTCCCAGCCGTTGTCCTTTTTCGGGGAGGAATGACTGTATGGAAGGGGAGTAGGAGAGGGGCGCCAGCTACTCCAGGACTGGCATCGGGAGCCTCTTCCGGCACACGTGCCCAGGGAGTGCCCTCACCTTGCTCTGGGTAAACGGGTGGCCGTGCTAGCTAGGACCTTGGGCCACGTTGGGGGCCAGGTCCTGCTCTATCCCAGCTTTTTGAGGATTCATCCTCAACCTTGCACCCCTTCTGGCCAGCCCTAAAGATCTCTCCTTAGAAGCGAGCCAGGGTGGTGGATTGTCCAAAGGATTGCGTTTCCCCTGGGGTGGAGGATGCCAGGAACGAGGTCTGATGAGAAACTAATCTACAGCAGCTCCCCAGTACGTGTACCTATTTAGGGTCTCTCATTTTCTAGCCTCAGTTTCCCAGTATGTGGGATGGGAAAGAACCCATGTTTGTTCCTCTTTTCCGCTCTCTACTTCTGTAAGGTTAAAAGCATTTGGAAAACATGAAGACGTCTTGCTACTGCCACCTTCTCTTTGTCCCCAGGCCGATGGACGTTCACACAAACGGGCTTGTAGGTGCCCTTCGGCAGCAGGGCCTCTGCACAGTTGTCCCCCGGTGACCGAAGGACGGGCTGGCAGGTGCAGTGTTGCATTTCAATGGCATCTCCTGTCCTAGAGCAGTTTCCAGGGTGAGGGGAGGTGAGGTGAGGTTTGGAGTGAGCAGAAGACACTTGGTTGGTTTCTGCTCCTTCCTCGCAGGAATTCCGGGACAACACGGGTTCTTTCCGATGGGTGTCTTGTGTGTGATGCAGTGGGGAGGGGGTCACTTTATGATTTCCCTTGAGGAAACCATCCCTTCAGAGGGAGCTTTTGTTTAGTTTGTTCTGGGGCAAGGTTGGGGAGGGGGCAGGGCCAGAGCGGGGGATAGTTAAGCCTTGAAGAGCTGCTGCCCTCGAGGTGTTTCCTTCTGCACCACTTCGGGGGGAAAGAAAGAACCCCAGGCTAGTTGTGGGAAAATAAACTTCAAATCGGAAGGAGAGGGTAAGGGGATGGCCTGGGGTTAAGGAGAAGGGAAAGGGGTGGCCTGGAGTTAGGCACCCATGTGCAGCTGGTGGTGGTAGCTTTGGAGGCTAGACGGCTTCCGGAAGGTGTGGGACAAAGCACCTTTCATATCCCTTTCCTGCCAAGTCTTATCAACAATTACCCTCCACAAAGTGGACAGATAACTTTTAGAAGAAGGATTTGGGGATTAGGCCAGTCTGATTTGGAGAAGATTGTAGATAGATAAGTTCTTGAACCAAAGCAACAAAAAAACCACCTCAGATCAACTGCAACTAGGGCTGCCCCTCCCTTCATAGGAAAAAACCCAAGAAGTGAAAACCAGTAGAAGCCTTTGCCGGCAGGAGTCTTAATCTGCAGAGATCTGCCTTGCCAAGCTTTCCGATCTGTGACTTGGGGCATTGCCTCAGCCTCAGGAAACTGGTTTAAGGAAAAACGAAAACTTGAAAAAAATCTTCTTTCTTGTCTGGCTTCTTGGGCATTTTCCACCTGTGTTGTGTTTTGTGCTGTAGCTTCTGAACTGCCTTACATCCTAAAGGAGCCCCTGGCTAGGAATTCCGAGGGTGGGAGCCAGAATTCGGGATGCTTTTCTGAAGAAGGGGCATGCTGGGTTAGGATTTGTTTCTCTTATGCTGCAAATTGTGTTCACATTTAAATGCATAAGAAAGGGAGGTAATCACCTTTCTTTAGAAATACTTAGGAAGTTGTCCAGTGCTTTTTCCCTTGTTTCCCAGGTGGGCTTTCTCCGACCCCTCTTCGGACCACGTGGTTTCCCTCCTTTCTGCCTTCAGAACCATCTTGAACCCTTATTCACGCTGCTGCTTTATCAGATTTTTTAGTGGCCAGGTCTCTGAGCTTTTGCTGATTTTCGCCTCTTTTCCTGCAAGGGGTAGTAAGTAGCATTTACTATGCCCCTCCTGACTCTGTTGGGTGTTATAAGTGGGACATTTCAGGAAACAGGGCGCAGGCAGTTTTTGCCATGTGGCTTGGCTGTGTTTCCATCAACCCAGTTCATTTACCTTTGCCTCCTTTTCCTCATCTGCAGAACGAGGGCTTAGTGAGGTTGCTGGAAAAGAAAAAAGTAAGCAAGATACTGATAGAGAGTAAGCAGGTCACCTGCCTCTAGCATTTGTTTGGGGTTTTTGTTTTGTTTTGTTTTGTTTTTTGAGAGGAGGACTTGCTATGTAGTTCCATCTGGCCTTGAACTCACTATGTAGCCCAGGCTGGACTGGAACTCATAACGATCCTCCTGTCTCAGCTGCCCGAGTGCTGAGATTACAGATGTGTGCCACCACGCCCGGCCTGACTCTAGCATTTATTGAGCACTCTGAGCTTGGCAGCTTCCCAAGCCCCCTCCCTGCCTGCAGTACTTCAGGTACCTTTATGGTGACTGTGTTCAGATAAGGAAACAGAGCCGTTAAAGTGGCCACAAAGACCCAACAAGAAGCACACCCGGGAGGTACCCACACCCTGGTCTACTTGACCCTTCTTCCTTCTGGGCCTCTGAAGCTGTTGAATTGTTACTCTGTGAGGGAGCCCAGTAAATTGGTTCAGCTGCACCCTGCCCTGGTCTGCTGAGAAATTCTGCTTTCTGTTTCCTCCAGGACAGGCATTGCATGCAGGCTTCTCCCCTGTGCTGCTGGCTCGCCTGGCAGTGCCCATGGGACCAACCTGATGCATCACTTTAGCCCTCTGCACGGGACCTTTGGGAAGCCCCCTCTCCCTTCACAATCCCCCCCTGGAAGTAGAGGGTTGAATGGAGGGAGGGAATGGCATCCCCTCAGCCCTCTGCCTCTGGCTTACAGTGATCATAAACAGGAAGGGTCTGAGCTCACACACTTAGGTCGAGCACTTTATGTACACTCCTAACATAATCTCCAAGCCCACCCCACATACAAGGGAGCTGAGGAGGAAAGAGGACATGATGTAACTAACCCAGCCTCATACAGTAGAGGCAGGTTTCAGATCTAAGGTGTCACGGGATCTGTCAACAAACATACTTTTTTTTCTAATTTTTTGCAGTGCTGGGGATGGAACCCAGGGCCTTGTGCATGCCAGGCAAGCCCTCTGCTTCTGAGGATGCCCCCGCCTGTCCACAGCCTTCATTAAGTGGCTGCTGTGTTCCACACACTGAGCAAGGCCCTGGGCTTCTAGGGATGAGATTCCAGAAACCCAGAAAAAGACCATGGCCCATTCCCAGAAACCTCTTGGACCCTCCTGACCTCTTCCCTTCCCAGGCACCAAAGTGCATTGTCATATTTCAGAGTTTCCCATGTTTTCATCTCCCCACTTTCTGAACTCGGTCCCGTGTAAGCACCCAGCAATAAGTAAGGCTGTTCCGGTTTTGAGGTCCTAACATCCGGTTATTAACACCAGCCCTACTACCCGAATTTGCAAACTGGAACCATGCAGTCGGTATATGATGTTTACATCTGACCAAAATGTCTAGAATGGGGCACATAGAACTCTTTGGAGAGCCGAGGGTTAATATGAATACCCCGGCCATTTGTTTCAAACCTGGGTGGAATTGTAAAACCCCTTATTCCACTTAACTGCCTTTGTAAGTAAAGGGAGCACAATAGATCTTTTGATTCTCACGATCTTGGAGGCCTTACAGCATTAGTTCCAGCTTGAATTCTCACTGTCTCAGACTGCAGAAGTGAAGAGTGGGTAAGTTGGGTTTTTGAGAGCAAATGGAAGAACAAGGTCCCTTCCTGATGGCTTGCTATTTATGATCCACTCAAAGTTGAGGGCTGCCAGAATAAAACAAAATGAAACAAAACAAAAACCCTCAAATCGGTAAGTCAGCTGTAGTTAACTGTCCAGGTTGAAAGTGAGTTTTTATTAAGTCATTTTTGAGAGTTTTCCTAGAGCCCTTAGGATGATTATAGGCTGCACAGTAATTGAGAACAGAGTCATTGAGGGTAAAAATTTGCAAGTGTTGAAAGGTTCTGGGGAGAGTCTCAAAGGAGTGGAGGGGGGGGTGATGATTGTTGCTTTTAAGTATTTTCCTGGGGTTTTGCCCTATTTATAGTCCGGTGTTTAAGAGAAACACAATCCTCAGGGTTTCGGATGCTGCACTTGGCTGGCCCTGACCTCGGGCCAAAGGCTTTCATCTTGAACTTGGCTGTTTGCTGTCAGATCGGACTCACCTCTGAACTCTGAATGTGGTTGTGTTGGGGGTTTAGGGACAGGGAAGGGTAAGACATTGGGGAGAGAGGATTGAGACTCCTGGGAGAACCCCCAAGGGAGTCTTTGTACCAGTCCGGATGCTGGGTCTGTGGGGCCCTGCCTGCCGGAAGCAGTTGGCCAGGTCTGGGGTGAGAGGGAGAAGTGAGGTCTCGTGACCACAGGAAAGCACGTGAAGTAGCTCTGCTTCCTTC